CATGTTTCAAAAAGTGTTGGAGAAATTTATAACTATTGGGATTACTAATTTCACGCACACTAATATGACGATTGTCAACAGCTGCCCCGAGAACTTGCAATTCATTATCTTTTGCCAAAACCCGCGTCCGTTTAGCTCTCCTTGCTCGTTTGACACTCCCGGTAGTTCTATCCAACACCCTTTGAAACACGCGTGGATCTGAATGTGTTTTGTCAGGATATCTCCCAGCCAGCACACAATTTCGGTAACGGTCTCTATAATAATAAATATACTATATCAACCTTTTCTGCGTGAGTTTGAGACATCTTTGCAACGTTGATTAAAAACAATTATACACTGCCGACACTGTACTGTTAATTGTGAGAATTGAACCTTTTTTGTTTCATCATGGCACACTTAAATTCGGAAAATAAGGTTTTTTTTACAAATTGGCGTTACGACTGGTTTTTCTCTGAAATTTTCTTATGGAATGTGTGGTTTTCTTTGTATCAGTAGAAAATTTGCACTTTTAACTGCCATTTGAAATTTTTGAAAAATGTGACTTGGCGAAGGCAAATCAAAAATTGAATTTTTTTTGTAAACTACCTAAAAAAAATTATGTGACTATGAAAGAGGTCTTAACCTGTGCCTCAATTCAAAAATTAACCGCCTGCGCGATTTAGTTTCTCTAAAAAAAATTTCGAAGAACTGTCAAATTTTGACGAAAAAAGGTTATAACTAGGGATGGGCGATAACTGTTTTCACCTATCGATAAGTATCGGGTACTTACCTATCGATATATTTTACTTATCGATATGCCGATAATTATCGAAATATCGATGGTTATCGATATATCGATACCTATCGATAACTATATATCGATAACTATCGAAATATCGATAAATCGATAGTTATCGATATATCGATAGTTATCGGCATATCGATAAGTAAAATATATCGATAGGTATTGATATATCGATAGTTATCGATATGTCGATAGTTATCGATATGTCGATAGTTATCGATATATCGAAGTTATCGCTAGGGATGGGCGATAACTGTTTTCATCTATCGATATAAGTATCGGGTAGGTAATTGCAGAAGTGCATCAAAATTACCGATAATTTTTTTGAAAGCATATCTAAAAACTGCCTGAGTTTACTTTTATATTTTGGCGAAAGAGCCCGACAAGACAAGAGGGCTCTTTTAACAAAATATGAAAATAACCGAATGCAGTTCTTGCAACTTTAATGGAGTTACCATATTAACTGTGCAATTATCGAAGGGCTCTTTAGCTTTCTACAATGCAATTACCGCTGCAATTAAAACATCTTAAAAATATATAAATGAAAGTTCACTAGAAATACACTCCAGAAGATTCGGATTCTTTAATAAAGATATCACCCTCATATCGATCTTCCGATGTTGCTCAACTCTAAACTTATTTCGTTTTTTGCTTTTCTCTTGGAGGTTCCACTATGGTATTTTCGTCCATTCTGAGATGTCTGCTTTTAAAATTTCAAACGACAAGTACAGATGCCGTATCTACAGACACCGCTGGAGATACATTTAAACTCATTTAGTTATTAAGTTTGATTAGCGATTTCTATTCTATGTGTATGAATCCGCCTTTTTTGAATGACGGTAACTGTTTCGTCCATGCAGAGGTAAATGCTAGAGTGTTAAAAGTACTTAGTCGCATTCATCTCGAAATACAAGTTCAGTTTAAGGTTACCGTATTCAGGACCTGCAGATATCTTCTGGACTGCAGAAGGTCTCGCTAATTAACAAAGTGTTTCATGAAGGTACTTTATGTAAGAGACTTCGGAATTTTATGTTTCACAAATGGGAAACGGGTGGAGTTGCTTTTAAATCTCTTTGGGCTGGATACTTTTGGGCATATCAAATTTCGTATTAAATTAAGGTCAGATTTAAATGATATGATGATTTAAATTCAATAGTTACTTCCTCAGATTGTTAATTTTTGTATATTGTAGATATTGGTCCGGATTTTTCACCTATAGGTACCTATTTACCGCCTGTGAACAATGTTATCTGTTCCTTTAGTAACGCAAACTATGTAAATAATAAACACAAGCGTAACATTGAAGGAGTTCGGGAAATTTTCAATTTTTTTCAGTATTTTTTATATAAAAATTACATTTTTTGTACATTTTTGTTGGGGCCCCTTTTAAGTCGGGGCCCGTCCTCATTGCGTACCTTTGAGACATTGTAGTTACGCCACTGCTTGATGTCTTCTTTTATTTATCTTAAAAGCAGTTTAAGCCATTTTGATGCAACATTTTTGATGCAACATGCAACAGTTTCCGAAAACGTCGAGCAACTAAAAATAGTAAAATTTACACGAGAGTAAACCCGAAAAGTGCGATTTTATTAATAAAAATAGTTATATCGCCGTGAAAATTCAACAATAACATTTAATTTTATCGTACCAATAGTTATCGACTTATCGATATATCAATATTATTCGACATATCGATAGTTATCGACATAATCGATTGGTATCGAATATTATCGCATACTTACGATAAGTATCGATATATCGATTAAGTTCGATATATCGATAACTATCAGATTACATACGAAAAAAATTCCCAGCCTAGTTATACACTGCGAAAATCGCTTAAAGTAGGGATATAATATTGTTATATAAAAAATGAACAATTTTGCTATATGTCTTTTATCGGTATCTTTTATGGTAAAGGAATTATGATCCGAGGGATCCTAGGTGCTACACCCTGTATACTGGGTGTCTTAAATTGACTAGGTTAACATGGCTATCTTTGTTATTTTTATACTTACAGATTCGGTTAAATTGGCAAAGTTGTGTAGTTTTTGATGCCGATGGATATTCCGACGCAATATTTTGAAAAAAATAATTCGTTTCGTAGATAATTGGGGAAAAAGTAAAAATCGCAATTTTAAAAAAGTTTAAATATTTTAGTAACAAAGAGAGCTATCGGAAAAAGTTTCAAATAAAAGTTGCCAGATTCGATGGGATAAATTCAATGGACGCAGAACAAAATTCATTAAAATGGCGGTTTTCGAGATATTAACATCAGCTTTCTTATTTTAAATGGACGCCATATTGGATTTTTACGTCACTCGATAGAGAAAAAAATTATAAAACCAGTGATACTAAACACTTAGTATTTCATTTGGGAATCAAAGTTGCATTTTTGCCTCCAAGTTTACAATGTATTTCTTATGGAAATAATTCCATGGCTGATTATAATTGAAACCAAATTCGTTCGTTTATTGTCTCGCATAGTCACCATCGACGAGGCCATGGAATTATTGCCGTTTCTAGAATGCCCGTAGTGGACCTTCTTATCTCGAACACAGTGTATATTCGTTAATTAAAAATTTGTCCACTTACCTCTAGACACGCGCGGCCCTTCTATTTCTTTTTGATTGTATCTTTTATTGAATTTGAAGCTACCATTACATGTACCGATAATGCACTCCACCAATAAACAAGTTTTGAAATATAATTTTCGTAAGTCGTAACGATTTCGGCTGTTCTTATCGATTAATCTTAGAGGAATTAAATTTGAGTTTGTGTCAGAGTACGGTTGCTGTAGGGGGTGGAAAAGGTGAGAAGTTTCTTTAGCAAAATTGAGTAAAACAACTTTCTGTCACTTTGTTTCTACTACACCAACATACCCCTTGGTGGAATCTTGCATCTCTTCTTCCAGAACTGGAATACATAGATCACCACCTAACGGTAGACGGCTGGATCAAGTCAACGGTTTTAGATAAGCTCAACTCAAAGAGCGTTTTAAATAGATGCGTTCGATTAGAAAATTACCCGTACAAAATTTCGAATTTTTGCGTAAAGAATACATCATTGATAATTGGCACATTGCGTAAATGCAATTTATGTTTAACACGCGCACCTGAAAATCGTCCTGAAGTACTCTTACGTTAATTGAAATACTCAAAGGGGGTACTCAATTCAATATCCGTCTAGACTCTATGAATAAGGAAGGGTTACTTGCACAGATGGGCAGTTTAGTTTTACGTCTCGACATTTTTTTATTAATGGGCTTTCTTCGAAGATAAAAAATTATTTACGAGACAATTTTAAAAACAAACAATATTTCAGCGGGTCCCGGAACGATAAGAGTCTCAAAAATACCAGGTCAGTTGCTATTTCGTGTCTGTGTCGCCAGACTCTTTGTCACAAAAATAACGTAAGTGGCTGTACCTACTAAAATTAAACACATTAAGAAAATAAAGAATAACCTAGACTTAATGGCCCACTTTCTTCGCTTCCTGTAATTAGAAAGATACATGCGACTGTCTTTCGGGAGGACAGGCGGTTTCAAGAAACTCTGTTTAATACATTGGATTTATGTATTGGCGACTTGTTGAAACAGAAAGATCGGCGCCAGAAATATCCAGAGTGTAGCGAAAATAACGCGTTCACCGGCGGGATGCTCAGACGATTAGCGACGACGACGGCGACGTCGTGGTTAATGAAATTTGTATATAATATGCAGGTCGCATTTTATATACTGTTCTCGTTACGAAACGGGTCGCAATGAGCTTGCATTCCTCCCGTGAGAAATTAATCCTCCCCTAAACTAAATGAAAAGTGAAATTAATAATAATGGAGGCAATAATAAAACCTGTCGTGTCATCGTCTGTATACCGGACATTTCTTGTTCAACCCTATCGAAAAAGGGTTCGCGAGGTTATCGACCTTTACCCTTTGACCCGTATGCACCCCAACGGACGATTAGGTCACCCCTACTCTTCTAGTACGATGACCGCGCTTTTATTACCACGGCTGGCCCCGTTTTTACTCTAAAAATATCCGACCATGGGACTAAAATAAGTACATAATCCGTAAATTGGGACTCCGTCTCGGTTACAAAAGCAGAATAGCCTGCATGTGTCAGTCGATTAGAATTTAAAAATAATCGACCTTTGCGAATGCATCCCGGCAGCGGCGACGACGGCGAGCGACAATAAAATGGTGCAGCAGCAGGAACGGGCACTTACCGATCGAATTCATTTGGAGACTGCTCGTAATCCTTGATGCGAAGAAGTGGTGGTCGAGAATCGTAGATTTCGAGGTCGACGTGATCTCCTGAAGGCCCATCTCCCTGCTCGAAAACTCCTGAAACAAAACGAAACGTGATTGTTTTTCGACAAGAAAAATACGCGAGAGGTCGTCGATTCTTACAACGATAATGAAACTTTCAATCCCTTTAGGGGTTGGAAGACATCTAATTGCGTTGTTAATGATCGCGACAATTAAGGTTCCTTTTCCGGGTTTGCCATAAAAAAAGCAGAAATATCGTGGATTTCTCACATTTATAGAGAGCTTCAATTTCGAGAGTTTAAAGAGGGTGCAATACTTGTACTTAAATTTAAAACAACTTCTTGCAGGATTTTGAGTAAAAAACACAGCTAGGTAATATACAGGGCGAATAAAAAGTAAGGAACATTGATGCTGGAGCCGTTAGTATTGGTCATATCAATAAAAGTTGAATGATTAAATATTTGCCACAATCTAACGGTTTTCAATTTTTTCCTGACGTCATAATTTCAGAATGTAATGTCAGCGCAAAAAATTTTAAATGGCAACCTATATTTTTTTCGACAATGTTAAATAGTATTTTGTTTTCTCTTTACGTCCATGTATAAAAATCACAAGGTTAATTGAGAAAAATTTTGAGAAATATGGCCTTCAATGCTTTGGAAATAATTACCATAAAACAAATTCGAATCACTATTAATGTCACTCATAATAGAATAATAATAATATCAACATCAAATTGGTTACCAATGGTAAGGGCTCCAGTATCAATGTTCCTTACATTTTATTCACCCTGGTGGATACGTGTGTATTGTGTATTCGTTCATCCTGAAATCTAACCAATTAGAGTTCGCGAAAAACCTTTTTATGTTTAAATGGGAAAAAACCTATAGTTGAAATATACAGGGTGGTCCTAAATATGATGTACATACGGAAGGGGCTAATTGTTCGTCTGCATCTGCAGGGTGTTATAATGTAACGATTTTATTTTCTCGTGCAAGTTTTGAGATATTTAGCTCAAACTTGGAATATAAGTAACGCCAAAGGTCTTATCATCATTGGTCATGTCAATGGTAGTAAGAATCTACACGGTGATGTTTTTTCAAGAGTCATGTTTTATTTTCTACTCCTGAACTTTTTCCCGTGCGCCGCTGGTAAATTGTAAAATTAGAAATTAATGATTTGCTTAGAAACTTTTTGATCTCTTGTAACTTTTTTTGTATCTGCGAACGTTATCGAGAAAAAAATAAAAATCAGAAAGTAAAATTTTTAAAATGGTCCAGTAGGCGCTGGCTTTTTTTGCATATTCGCTGGTTTTCATTGACTTTCGCAGTTCGCATTTGAAATTGTATCTTGCATAACACCCTGTAGATCGGTAACGAAGCGTTTGCCAATCATTGGAATAGCAAAGTAACGATGAAAACTAAACGTTAATTTATTATAAGTTGATCGAAAGGAAACTGGACGCTTATTGGCTCATTTAAATTTATTATGTAGCGCGCACTCAAATCGAGGCGACGACGCCGACTGCGCATCAGTTGTCGCTTGGGCGTAATCGGCGTTGGAAAATGTTTCAACAATTTTTAACATAGGGATGGTTCCCAGATCAAATTTAAAGACAATTATTTTCTCTACAAAATGGTATTTTTTCCTGAATTGTTCCAGCTAAAGTGGAACTATCACTGTTAGAAGCAATGTGTTGTAAATTTTCAATAGTTAATGAATTAACAAAATTAGCGGTCATTTTCCGATATGCGTTTTTGTGATATGTGAATCGTACAATTTCTGCTTTCACTCTGTTATTTTTTCATCGACAGAAATTTAATTTGAAGGTTTCTATGGGGAAACGAGATTCTGCTGATTTAAATAATGAAAACACTCAAAAAAAATTAAAAATCCCCGAAATACTTAACAACAATCGCGCGAATATTTAAAATAATTGAGAATTCAAGACTTTAATTCCGGTAATTCAAAACACTTAAAACGATGTCAGTCCAACTCGGCTGCAGAGAAGAACTAACCGATGGACACGACCACTTTTTTATTATCTCGAAAAGCACTTTTTCAATTTCTTGGAAAATACGAAATTTTTACAGCCATTCTGCGTGAGTAGGTTAAGTACCTGTACACTGTACAGGGTGGTGGTTCAAATTCGTGACTTACTAGCACTTCATGCGCGTATCGTGCAAAAACCGGCCGATATTCACGTGTAGCCGGATACCGACCGATTTGAATGACGTCGGCATGGGTCGACGCGAACATTCTAATCAAGCGACAACCGATACGTGTGAAAACTCAGTCCCATAAACCGGTAAGCAGTCGGTCTTATAGTAAGCGCCCCCGACATTAAGCCGAATATCGCGTGTTACGCGGCCATTGTCTGACACGTGTGAAGTTCGCATATCGTCGTATACAAGAGCCATCGGCTAACCGATATCGGCCGGCCCTTACCCGATACGTGTATAACGGGCTTTACGGTGAGATACAGTGTAGGTTAAATGGAGGTAAAGTTTCCCCTTTTGAAATTTTTAAAAATCTTTGGAAATAACTGAAAATGTCAAATATCATTTTCATTTACCATAACTTAAGCAGTATGGGCACTTTTTTTCGTAAAATCTGAATCCGTTATCAAAATTTCCATAGCACGCTAGATGTAGAAGCTACAGGCTACTATTTTCATATTTCTTATGGACGGCATATTGGACTTGAGATACTTAGAAGCATGAAAACTGTAGTAGTTGCAGCCTTGTACGAACGGACGGTGGAAAGTGACCATAATAGCGCCTTCCAACACGAGTTGAAAAATGCGCTAAAAAGACCTCCGTTATACTTTTGAATCCCTCTGGAAAAACGTATAAAGATCTCAATAAAAGCGTAGAAGGCTATGAAAAGTGCCAACAAAATTTCGAAAAAGAGTGGGAACCCAAGTAGAAGGTTTCATCAAACGAATTCATATTTTTTACACCAATTAGTATTGTAAATAATTTTGACAACGTGTACGAAAATTTCTTTACTCCAAAATCTATCCCTCTGTTAGACGGCTAATATCTCCAACCCAGCATGGTTTTATGAAGCAAAGGTCGACTGTTACAAACTCGGTATATCTTACTTAGTTTATAGAAACCATCCTGGATAATGATCCACTTTGCTAAGGCTTTCGACTCTATCGCTCACGATATTGTATTAGCCAATTAAGACAACTTTGGAATGGACCAATCTCTGCATGTTCTATTTCAGTCATACCCACGTAGCAGGTCTCAATATGTAAGATATAATAAGTTTATTTCACCACCAATAACTGCCACTGCAGGAATATCTCAAGGGTCTAACCTTGGTCCACTCCTGTTTTTGTTATTTATTAACGATTTACCTGATATTATAATCATTCATTATACAATGTAGCAATTTCCTTCTTGCTGATGATTTTAAAATATGTTCTTCCATTTCGGGCCACCGGTGATAAGGAATAATCGCCGCATTAATTACTTTCACCGTAACATGATTATATATTATTATTATTATTAATATACTACATCACTTGCTATCGGTTCTCTATATTTTTAGCTGTACCTATAGTCTTGATAATTATGTGAAATGTTTTAGAGTAGGCACTACATCTTGCCCCCCTTCCCAGTTGACTAACTCATTTTCTATCAGGTTATGCAAAAAATAAGTTTACTAGAAAAGTTTTTTGCCTAAGCACAATTTTTCAAAATTTGGTAGTATTATTAATACTGGGTGTCCCAAAAGCGGTCCACAGGCCCCAACTTAAAAATTCTAAATGGGACATCCTGTATTTCTTTCATTCGATTTTTAGAATCTACGTTAAGTTCTATGATAAAACCAGGGACCTCAGTAACATTGAAATCGCAACACCAAGAAGGGGTGGGAATTTTGACCAAACTTGGCAGAAACCGTTTAACTTTTTAAAAAGTAACAATGGGGTCATCCCGCCTTCATTTTTTATTTCTGATCCACAAAGTACTTTAAAAATAAAAAGACCCGTGTGTCCTCAATTTTTATTTGCGAGTAAAATAAACCCAAAATAAATTATTGAAAAGCTGTGTTTTTAGTCCGAATTTGAAACGCTTCAGACTAAATACGTCACAAACCTACAACCAATCACGTAGAAGTGAGCTGGCAACCTTACGCGAGGGTCTGACGTTTGTCACATTTGACGTTTTGAGAGGGATGTTTAACTGCATCTAGCACGAAAGTGACAAGTGCCTGTGACAGATGACGCAAGTTATAAATGCCATTCTCCTGCAATATTGCCAAGTCGTTATGTCATCTGGATGGTTCTAGGAGCTGATTGGGCGGGCTTATTACGTCACAGAGCTCGCCACAATCATATCGTTTTGAATAAACCTTTAAAACCGCACATGTTCATTATTTTTTTGCTAATCAGCCTCTATTTTTAAATAAACTTTTACTGTCCAAAAAAATGTTTTATGGTTTCAGGTACACGCTTATTAAATTAGAACTGCGGAATTCAACTATACTGTAAACCCCCATTGATTTAAGTTCATTCATATGGATCAAGTGGTAATGGCTTATATGACAGTTCTTCCACTTTTCTTTTAGTAATTTTATAACGTGTGTATGTTTTGCGAGATTTTGATCAATTTTTATTGTTTTTGCTTTACATCTGAAACCTATAGTCGCACAGGGTGGATTCAGTGATGAATCCCGATTCTGTTTGGTAATGCATGATGGGCACACAAAGACGTGGTGAACGTCGCAATATTGAATTTTCTGTTGCGAGGTATTTGCACCAAACTCTGGGAATTATGGTATGAGTTGCTATAATTTACGGGAATAGGTCTCGTTTGTTATTCATCTGAGACAATATGAATGCCCAACGATATGTGGATGACGTACAACCCCATATTTTTCCGTTTCTTCAGCGGTTGGAAGAACCCATTTTTCCAGCAGGATAAAGCCTGTCACAATATTGCAAGACGTTCTATGGACCGATTTGCATACGATAATCTCTTGCCACAACGTGTTTTTCGTATCAAAAATAAATTAGAAAGTGCTGAATGACGTGTACGATGTAAATAGTTGAAAACAACACT